CAGGACCTATATATAGTACTTCATCACGCAAAGTATACTCTAAAAATTTGGGCGGGTACCAAAAATGGGTATTTTTTTTTAAAAAAAATTTATGACTTTGCGCGACCAATATATAGTATTTCGTCGCGCAAAGTATACTCGAAAAATTTGGGTGGGTACCAAAAATGGGAATTTTGAAAAAAAATAAAATTACGACTTTGCGCGACCAATATATATTATTTCGTCGCGCAAAGTGTACTCGAAAAATTTGGCGGCTACCAAAAATGGGACGTGGGAATATTTTGGTCGCGCAAAACCCTCAAAATTTGGGCGGGCACCAAAAATGGGAAATTTTTTTAAAGACTTTGCGCGACCAATATATTATTTCGTCGCGCAAAGTGATCCGGTTTTTAAAACCAACATAACTCCTCCACCATTTTCTCAATGTCTTCTAATCTTCTTACCTCTCCTCTCTCTTTCCCTCTCCCCAAATCCTACCCTTTCTCTCACACTCACTCCTCTCACTTAATCTCTCATCTCTTTCTTCACTATCTCTCACTCTCACTCACTCTCTTATCTCTCTTTTCATCATCTCTCACTCTCACTCACTCTTTCATCTCTCTCTCACTAATTCTCTCACACTCACTTCTCCCTCTCATTCTCACTCACTCAAAATCTTGTCAAATGGTATATTCTCTCCAAATGTTAAATTTTTTTCAATAATATATTAATCATACAATAAAATTAAATTTAAAAAGTAAAAATTTGAAAAAATTAATATAATGAAATTGATATAAGAGAAATAATAAAACAAAATGTCAAAATCCTTGCGCAACAAAATATTTCGTCGCGCAAACTAACTAGTTTATTTTTAATTAAAATTTTTAAAAAATAAATAAATATTTCGTCGCGCAAAGTTTTGCGCGACCTTAGGATTCGTCGCGCAAAGTATATTTGCGCGACGTTAAGGTTCGTCGCACAAAGTGGTTAAGGTTCATTGCGCAAAGTAAATAATATTCGTCGCACAAAGTGGCACTATTCATCGCATAAGGTTGCTATTATTTGTCGCGCAAAGTAGTTAGAATTCGTTGCGCAAAGTGGTTACTATTCGTCGCGCAAAGTGTCTTTGAGCGACGTTAGTGTTCGTCGCGCAAAGTTATTATTGTTCGTCGCGCAAAGTATCTTTGTGTGATGAATAGTAATTTTCGTCGGGTTTTGCGCGACCAAAAGTTCGTCGCGCAAAGTTTGCGCGACGAAATTGTACTTTGCGCAACAAACTTATTTCGTCGCGCAAAGTGTTTTTTGTAGTAGTGTGGGCCTAGCCATAGGATCGAGTTGACTATACAGACCTGTAAACTTAAATGAGTAGCATGAAAACTTCACAGGTCTTTAACAACCATTCCCAGATTGAATCGAAGATCGGGACCAATAGCATCTATGGTATTATCAAAAGAGGACAAAGGACGGCCAAGGACCGAGAACAGTCTCTTTCCTGTGCTATCAAGAAATAAAAGAAGTATAGGAAGGAGCAGGAATTGAGGGATACTATAGAGATAGATGGCTATGAGACTAGCATAGCCCCCATCAAACAGTTGAGGGGGGGTAGCCCATAACTTAGTTTCCCCTCTAGGTCATTGATCCGAGAAAAGATTTCCTTCCTTCTCTTTGTCTATTCTCGTCTCGAGAGGTCTTGACGATACCCTTTTGGAGAACTGCCTAGGCCCAGTCATAGGATCGAGTTGACTATACAGACCTGTAAACTTAAATGAGCAGCGTGAAAACTTCACCAAAAGCTTGATGACTTGGTGTAGCCTAGAATTTGCCAGGACAACAAAAAGTGAGTAGGATAGCTAAGACATCGAATAAAGAAAAAAAAACGATTACCACGAGTCTTTTTAACAACCATTCCCAGATTGAATTGAAGATCGGGACCAATAGCATCTATGGTATTATCAAAAGAG